TGTGATTAAAGGCACACATCATACCGTATTTTATGTATCTGTAAAATTTAGTTATTTTGAGAAAATATAATGTAGAAAAACTCACATATTTAAAAATATTCAGTTTTATTTATGAATGTGGGCTTGTGTGAGCCTAAGTGCGCCTTGCACATGTAGGAGCCCCTGGTGGCCAGAAGAGGGCATCAGATCCCTTGAAGTTACAGGTGATCATGAGCGGCCATGTGGATTCTGGGATCTGAAGGTGGGTCCTCCCAAAGAGCAGTACGTGCTCCTAACTGCTACACCATTTCTTTAGCCCAGATCTTTTTTTTTTTTTTTTTTTTTTTTTTTTTTGGTTTTATGAGACAGGGTTTCTCTGTATTGTTTTGGAGGCTGTTGGTCCAGCCTGGCCTCGAACTCACAGAGATCCTCCTGCCTCTGCCTCCCGAGTGCTGGGATTAAAGGCGTGCGCCACCACCACCCAGCAGCCCCAGATCTTTCATTTGATCTTAGAACTTAGATTACTTGCTTTCTTCACTGCTGTATCATGGACCTTCCCTGTATTTGATTTTGTTTTCTTAGACAGAGACTTATGGGGTCCCGGCATTCCTCAGGACCCTTCATAGTCAAGAATAGTTTTGAACTTCTAACCCTCCAGTTTCCACCTCTCTCGTGCTGGGATTGCAGGTGTGTGTCCCACGCCCAGAGGTTCTTTTGTTTTGGCTTTCTGGAGACAGGGTTTCATTCTGTTGTCCAAAGTGGCCTCTAAGCTTCCAGAATGCTGTGCTTACGGACGTGAACCACCATGCTTGGCTTTAGAAGTTTTCTCCTATCTTTGAGACAAGAGTCTCATTTATCCCAGGTTAACTCAAAAGCTACCTGAAGTGGCCCTGGGAAGGATGGCCTTGAACTTCTAACTGTGCTGCCTTTGCGCGTCGCAGCTACAGGCATGGCCACCATTCCCGGTTTGTATGCTGTCAGATTCCCTGGAACTAGAATACAGGCAGCTTCTTAATCACTGAACCATCCCTCCATCCCCTCAGCATGATTTATTTGTTTGTTTGTTTGTTTATTTATTGGTTTTCGAGGCTGGGTTTCTGTGTAACAGTCCTAGCTGTCCTAGAACTCACTCTGTAGACCAGGCTGGCCTCAAACTCACAAAGATCTGTCTGCCTCTGCCTCCCAAGCACTGGGCTTGAAGGCGTGCGCCACCAACGTCCATCGAGCCTGCTTTCTTATACAACCCAGGACCACCCCACCTGCCCAAGGGTAGCACTACTCACAGTGGGCTGGGTCCTCCCACGTCTAAATAGGGTTTCTCTGTGTAGCCCTCACTGTCCTGGAACTCACTCCGTAGATCAGGCTGGCCTTGAACTCACAGAGATCCACATGCCTCTGGCTCCGGCATGCTCGGATTGAAGGCATGCACCATCAACTCCTGTTCACTAAGTAAGGAATGGGACATAAATATTGGGGCATTAGTGATTCTCAAAAGTTTTCCTCTTATTATTTTTTGGTACAGGGTTCTCATGTAGCCCAGGCTGACCTCACACTCACTACAAAGCCCAAAAATGACCTGGGCCCTCCTGCCTTTGCGCTTCATTGCTGGAATTACAGGCTTGTACCGCCACACCTGCCTCAGCCTTTAGTTTCTCTTGCTCTCTGCCTAGAACAGCTGAGCACTTCCTCTGTTAGCGAGCGCATGCGGATGCTTTGCTTATGAGTAGAGAGAGTGTGTGTCTGTAAAGGTCTGACTGGGGTGACTCAACTGCCAACATCTATCTTTGTCAACATCCGTGTTCTCTTGATTTCGTCATTATTTTTGTTGTTTTGGGGGTGGAGGAGGACAGAAATGACTTGAAACATTTCACGTGACATGATTTTCTCCTTGACTATTGGCTAGGCTTCTGGGCTCTACCATCACTCCACATAGCTGGTCTCCTGAGTGTCACAGGAACTCCCACTGGATCTCAGCGACACTGCATTTCTCCACTTTGACATTCAGAGCACTGGGCAGGAATCTGGCTGCAGTATCTGGCAGACTTGGGATCATGTGTCCGATTGTGGCAAACGTTCTACTGGGTTTGGCCAGATTGTCCCACCCTCCTTATCTGACCAGCCAGGATGTCTGGGCAACTCCCCTTTTCCCTCCTAGATGCCAAGGGATGTTGTAACAGGCCCCCAGACATTAGCACAACTGAGTCCATGATGGAAGTGCTATTCAGGCTGCAGAACTCGGCATGTAGACTGTACCACCTGCCTAAACTAAAACAAAGGCCTAATCCATCAAAGTCCACAGTTCTGGGAAAGTCTTTAATGTACTAACTTTGCTTTTTAGATTCTATAGTTCTGCTTCCGGCTGACTGGTCTTGTTAACTGAAGTGTGTCAACCCAGGACGTGGGTTTGTGCTTGAAAGCTCACCCTGAGAAAGGCTTGTGCTACACTGGGATCCTGAACACCCAGTATTATCCACAACTGGCTAATAAAGACTTTTTTGTTTGTCTTTTGAGATAGGGTATCTCTGTAGCTTTGGTTGTCCTGAAACTCATTCTGTAGGCCAGGCTGGTCTTGAACTCACAGAGATCCACCTGCCTCTGCCTCTAAGATTAAAGGAGTGCAGTCTCACTGCCCAGCCTGCCTGGCCTAATAAATAAAGACTTTCTATTGGTTTAAACCCATGTCTGGGCAGTCTTCCATGGTGGCTACCCACAACAATATCTTGTCTCCCAGATTTGCCTCAGGGAGAACCCTGTTTAGGATCTGGTTATAGTTCAAGGATATGGAGCATGAATGAAGCTCTGGCTTCAATTCCTGCACCCAAGTCTTAATCTTTGTAATCTTACCATGCTCTCACTCCTCCATTCCCCTGCTCCTCAGCACTTCAGACTTCCACATCCACATTCCTTTGTATTTAAAATGAAGCAGTGCTGGAGAGATGGCCCAGTGGTTAAGAGCACTGGTTGCTCTTCCAGAGGATTCAGGTTCAGTTCCCAGCACCCACCTGGTGTCTGACACCATCGATAGTGGGACCTGATGCCCCCCCTTCTTTTTTAAAGGAATAAATGCTTTAGGCTGGTCTTGGTGACGCACACCATTAATCACAGAACTCATAAGGCAGAGGCAGGTAGAGCTCTGTGAGTTCTAGGCCAGCCTGGTATATACAGGGAATTCCAAGCCAGCTAGAATTTTATAGTAAGATTCTATCTCAAACAAAACAAAAATTGTTTCAGCTACTATTATTTGCAACTCTTTTTTTCTTGGGTGGGGGGAGATGGTTCCAGGCAGGGCTTCTCTGTAGCTTTGGAGGCTGTCCTGGAAGTAGCTCTTGTAGACCAGGCTAGTCTCTAACTCTGCCTCATGAGTGCTGGGATTAAAGGCTTGTGCCACCACTGCCTGGCTTTATTTGCAACTCTTAAAAGGTAAATAAGCCAGGCAGAGCAGCTCACACACCTGTAACACACACCAGCGACTTTAGGAGATCGAGGAGGGGTGGGGGGATCACCATGAATTCAAGGCCAGCCTGTTCTACATAATAAGACCCTGTTTTAAAAATCAAACAAGGCGGGCTGGAGAGATGGCTCAGAGGTTAAGAGCACTGACTGCTCTTTCAGAGGTTCTGAGTTCAATTCCCAGAAACCACATGGTGGCTCACAACCATCTACAATTCAATCTGGTGCCCTCTTCTGGCATGTAGGCATAACACTGTATATGTAATAAATAAATCTTTTAAAAAAAAATCAAACAAGGCAGCCCGGAGTTGGTGGCGCACGCCTTTAATCCCAGCTCTCTCAGCACTCGGGAGGCAGAGGCAGGTGGATCTCTGTGAGTTCGAGGCCAGCCTGGTCTACAGAGCAAGTCCAGGACAGCCTCCAAAACAATACAGAGAAACCCTGTCTACAAAAACAAAAACAAAAAAAAAACCAACCAAACAAACAAAAGACCCAAACAAGGCCTGTGACTTGCTCCTTGATGAAGATGATGATGAAGAAAATGATGGAGAACATGAAATTATGAAGATGATGATGATGACACGGGGATGGGATATGAGGTGAAGATTGTAATGAAGGAACTGGTAGTACGGATGGTAATGATGGATCTGGAGCTGATGCTGCTGAGGTAACTGGTTGGAATTGTTTCCTTAAAAGCTGAGCTTAGAAAGTTTGCTGTTTTCCTGTGATAGAGAAAAGCTTGTGGTACCAGGATAATAAAAGTCTTTATACTGTTAAAAAAAAAATCAAACAAGGCTGGTGAGACACTCAGTGAGTACAGGTACTTACACCAAGGCTGATAGCCCGAGTGTGGTCCCTTCAACCACAAGATGGAAGGAAAGACCAATCCCTGCCCATTGCCCTCTGGCCTCCACATGGGTGCCCTGACACACTTGAGTACCTGCACATAAACCAGGACACATACATTTAAAATGTAATACAATTTTTAAAAAAGACTTTTGCTTTTGTTGATTATTTTTTTCTTTTTTGAGACAGGGTCTCTCTGCATAGTCCTGGATGTCTTGGAACTCACTATGTAGACCAGGCTGGCCTCCAGCTCACAGAGATCTGCCTGCCTCTGTGTGATGTTTACAGTTGAAAAATGCCTTTTAAACATGTAGCTTAGTCAGGAACCGCACTACAACCAAGGCTGTAGCCGAGAACAAGAGTGACATCTCTTACTCAAGAAAACCAGACACAGGACTTGAGCTCCGCCCATGACTTCCACTTGCTGATATACAGGCAGAGACCAAGAGCAATGCAGCTCTGCACATCTGGACTACGGAGACACTGTAGAGATGCCTCTTTGATCTACCCTGCAGCTAGAGAGTCTCTCCGGGGTCCTCACCCTCAAGTCAGAGGCTTCTGTTAGAGACTGGCCCTGACCTCGGCTAAGACAGGTCACACAGGTGACATATCTTGGAGAGATAGGCTTAGGACCATAGTTAGGAATTTAGAGTGTGAACCTTGTGTGATGACCCTTGACATAATAAAATACAACTTTTGTAATATCAACCTACCTTTTGTTATAGGTACGTGCTGGGATTAAAGACATGCACCACGCTGTCTGATTTAAACTCAAGGCTGAGACGGGAGCACTGACAAGAATTTGATGCTAGCCTGTACAAATCAAGAGGCAATGAACACAATGAATTTTGGCACATCTGCAGTGGAAGATGACCTGTATAGACACTAAATAAAAGAGGGGCTGGAATCATTACCAAGATAGCATTGCGGATGGCACTCACGGAGTTACCGGGGAAAACAGGGTCCTTTCCCCACAGTCTCATAGATAAAAGAATTTTTAAAAATGCAAGCAGGAAGCCGGGCATTGGTGGCGCACGCCTTTAATCCCAGCACTTGGGAGGCAGAGGCAGGTGGATCTCTGTGAGTTCGAGGCCAGCCTGGTCTACAAAGTGAGTTCCAGGACCGCCTCCAAAGCCACAGAGAAACCCTGTCTCGAAAAATCAAAAAAAAAAATGCAAGCAGGAAACTCAAGGATAATTTTATTAGTTTAAGAGAAAATCTACACCCCAGGCAAGCTAGAGACTCAGTAGCTGTCAGGTGGAGAGGTACGAATAACTGTAAGAGAGAAGGCCATGTGTGCTGAGTTAATTTTTTGCTTTTCTTCCTTTCTTCTCTGTCTCTCTCTTACTTTCTTCCTCCCTCCTTCCCCCTCTCTATCTTTCTTTCTTTCATTCTTTTTACTTTTTTGGCTTTTCAATACAGGGTTTCTCTGCCCTATCTGTACTGAATTAGGTCTGTAGACCAGGTTGACCTTGCACTCACAGAGATCTGCCTGCCTCTGCCTCCCAGGAGCTGGGATTAAAAGATGTGCACCACCACCACCTGGCTAATTTTTTTGCTTATTTCTGTGTGTGTGTGTGTGTGTGTGTGTGTGTGTGTGTGTGTGTGTGTGTATTGCCAGGCAGCAGTGGTACATGCTTTTAATATGAGTTCTTGGGAGGCAGAAGCATGCAAATCCCTGAATTTGAAGCTAGCCTGGTCTACAGAGTGAGTTTTAGGACAGTCAGAGCTACACAGAAACACCCTGTCCTGAACCCCACCCCACCCCCACACGTTTCTGTGTACTGTATGTGCCCGGTGCTCATAGAGGTCAGGCGAGGTTATTGCATTCCCCTGGAAATAAAGCCACATGATTGCGGCTTGCCTGGTAGGTGCCGAGAGTGGAATCCGAGTGCTCTGGAAGGGTAACAAATGCTCTTAACCACTGAGCCATCTCTCCAGGCCTGCTTCCTAAGTTAGAAAGCAGGCAGTGGGAGCCTGAGCAGTTACACGGCATACTCAGAGAGAATGAGAACGTTACAGGGTTTCAGGGTTCCCTGCTGTGAGTTCTTAGTCTCATTAATACTCTAATTTCAAAAGGATCTAGAAGTTGGCTGTGCTGGTGCACACCTTTAATGCCAGTATTTGGAGGCAGAGGGTCTCTGAGTTTGAGGCTAGCCTGATCTACATAGCAAGTTACAGAATAGCCAGAACTACATCAAGAGACTCTGTTCCCTCAAAAAACTAACTAACTAACTAACTAACTAACTAACTAACTAACTAACTAGGATTCTGAAAGACACTTAAGGCCATTTTGTTGCTGTTGTTGTTTGTTTGTTTGTTTTTGTTTTGAGACAGGATTTCTCTCTGTAACAGTGCTAGCTGTCCTGGAACTCACTCTGTAGACCAGGCTGGCCTCAAACTCACAGAGATCCACCTGCCTCTGCCTCCCGAGTGCTGGAATTAAAGGCGTGCGCCACCGCTGACTGGCCATGCACTGCTACCACCTGGTTCAAGAGCATTTTAAAAGAAAGATTTACTTTTATTCATGTGTATACATGTATATGTATGAGCACAAATGTGCAGTGCCTGTGGAGACCAAAAGATGCCATTGAAACCCCTAGAGTTGGAGTTACAAGTGGTTATAAGCTGCCTGACTTGGATGCTGGGAATTGAACCCCAGTGCTATGGAAAAGCAGCCAGTACTCTTAACCAAAGCTGTCTTTCCAGCCCCCTGAGGACTATTTTATTAGAGTTAAAGAAAACTATGAATCAGGCAAGCTGCTCGTCTTAGCGGCCGACAGGAGGAGAGATAATCATGATTTTTGAGTTGGTGTCTAAGGAAGCAGGAAGGACCAGGAATGCAGCTTGGCTTGGGGTGGGGGTGGGGGTACAATTCAGAGAAACAATGGGAGGGCTCAGAATATCACGACAGGTATACTTAGGATGTTGCCTGGTATCCAAAGAAGAGACGGAAAGGGGAAATGTTATGCTTAGTGAATTAGAACTCAGAAAACAGGCAGACTTCGCAGTGAAGGGCTACACACAATTGCATCAAGGGAGAGCCACTTGGTTGGGGGGCGACGGGAGGTGGGCACTCATGAAGGCGATGCTCACGCCTCCCACTCCTCAGTGTGTCTTTGTGTGAATCAGCTCTCCTGTAGAGGCTCTTCTTGGCAGATGATTGACAGGCTCAGTTGGATTAACTCTTAAGAAGATGGAGATGGTAGGTAGTGTTCTGATCTCCCGGTCAGAACGGAATGTTACGTCTCCACCCAGGCAGAACTCAGATTTCATTCTTCTGACCAAAAGGAAGTATCTTTTCTTTAACATCCCTCAACAAAACCTTGATAAGTTTTATCTTCATATGATATTTTACAATTTTGGAAGGGCACTTATGATGCTTTCCCTCCTTGTTTTACTAGGATAATGGAAGCTGAGTCCCAAAACTGCCATCGAGGGGGTGTAGAGGTTCACCCTCAATGGCCTTCCAGCCACAAAGGTGGGTGGGCCTGAGGAAGGAGGGATTGTGCTAGGAGGCAGGAATTTTGGGACAGAAGAAAAGCACAAGCTAGAGTCACCTGGGAAGCGGGAACCTCAACTGAGAAAATGCCCCAGCACACTGGCCTGTGGGAAGACGTGGCCATTTTCTCTGCTGATGATTGATGTGAGAGGGCCCACCCCCTGTGGGCGGTGCCACTCCTGGGCAGTTGGCACTGGAGTGTATAATGAAGCAGGCTGAGCACACCAGTAAGCAGCACTCCTACATGGTCTCTGCTTCAGTTCCTGCTTGAGAGCCTACCCTGACTTCCCTCAATGATGGAGTGTGACCTGGAAGTGTACCCTCTCCTCCCCAAGTTTCATTTGGTCTTGTTTTGTTTTTGTTTTTTTTTGTTTTCTTTTGGTTTTTCGAGACAGGGTTTCTCTATAGGTTTGGAGACTGCCCTGGAATTCTCTTTGAAGACCAGGCTGGCCTCGAACTCACAGAAATCTGTCTGCCTCTGCCTCCTGAGTGCTAGGATTAAAGGCGTGCGCCACCAACATCTGCCTGGTCTTGGTCTTTATCACGGCAATGAAAACCGAACTAGGATGAGACCCTAGTGGGAGACTTAGGTCTTGAAGAATGGTCTCATTTCTGAGGGTGGATGCTGAGCCCCAGAGGAATTGGTTGCCTGAACTTGACCCAAAGCTCTGACAACAGATGTGGCTACTGTGGAGAACTATAGCACATTAGCTTTATTTGAAATTAGGGATTAAAAATCCATTTAACCTTCCCTTCAAGAGCCCCAGACCAACACACTAGTTATCTGACTCAGAGACCAAGGTCCTTTTGTTTAAGGTGCCCCTCCCACCTGTTTCCAGCAGAGATCTGGAGCAAAGGGCAAATGAGAGGAGGAGCAGGTGAAAACCACGACATACTCACTGGGTCACACTGAAGCCTTTCGAGATACAGAATTGGTTTCATTCTCTCTGACCTCTGTTCTGTCTTCTCTCCCAGTCCTACTCGAACTTGAAGGAAGGAGAAAGCTTTCTAAATTCGGTTATTAGTGGAAAGCATCTGAAGTTTATTAAACATTTGAAGTTTATGTCATCGGTGTTCTACCCTGCAGAACTGAGGGTTACTGTGCCCATGCCACCGGCTTCCTCACCCCGGAGGATAAAAAGCCAAAAGCCTCTTCCTTCCTCATTTACATAGTTCAGATATCAAGTGACAGCTTATCCTCAAGAATGAGTCACCCTCTGTCTGTGCAGATGGCTGTGGGCACACCCCAGGAAACGAAGTTCAGGCACACAGTTGGCAGAAGCCATCATTACCACATAAGCTGCAGAGGAAGGAGTCCAGAGACAGAGCAAGATGAGCTCCGAGACAGGTAAAAGCGGACGCCAGGTCCTGGCAAGGCGTGAAGTTGATTTCTCCTTTTTCCTTTGTTTCTTTCTGTATAGATTTCTGTCATGTTGGACTAGGCTGGCCTCCAACTCCTGGCATCAAGTAATCCTCCTGCTTCATGTAGCCTCTTGAGTACTTGGGAATGCAAGTGTCTGCTCCCAAGCTTAGCTTGGCTCCATGGTCTTGAAGAGTGCATCTTCTGTACAAGGGTATAGCCAATTTATGCTTGGATCTCCGGGTGCTTTCCAACTTTCCTGTTATGATTAATACATTAATATTGTTCTTAAGATGAATTACTATTCTGGTGAAGTATTTATACTTCTTAATGATTTTGACAAGTTACATTAAATCAATGATGATTTCATGGAAAAAAAAATTTAAGTTAGTTGACTCTGGTGATGTAGGGTTATAATCCTAGCTACTTGGGAGACGGAAGCAGGAGAATTACTAGTTGATGTGCGTTACAGGGAAAGCTCAAGGTCAAGTTGGGTAACTCGTCAAGAACTTCCTTTTCAAAAAGGTGGGCGAGCTGGAGGGATAGCTCAGCAGTTCAGAATGCTTGCCGTTCTTGTTTGATTGGAGTACCCACAGGAGGCTTCTCACAACTGCCCGTAACCAGCTCTAAGGTTCCAATGCCCTCCTCTGGCCTCCACAGGCACCTGCACACACACACACACACACACACACACACACACACACACACACACACACACACACACACACACACACTTAAAAAGCTTCGTTCTAGCTAAAAAGAAGAGTGAGGGTATAGCTTAGTGATAGAGAACTTACCTGGCATGTGTGAAGGCTTGAGTTCAATTCCCCAGTTCTGCCCACCCTTCTAACTAGAAAAAGTAAAACTGAAACTAACGAAGAGAAAAACAGAAGTAGCGGCGCATAATCCATATGCTAGCTGATTAACTAGACAAGGATTAATTAATGTTAGGTGTGGTTATTCCCACCTGTGATCCCAGTAGTCTAGAGGCGGAAGCAGGAGGATTACAAGGAATTTGAAGCTAGTTTGGGCAGCACAATAGGTTTCAGGCCAGCCTAGGCTACAATATGCGACATCACTCCAAAACATACTAATGGTCTGGGTATGTAGTTCAGTTGCTATAGATTTGACTAGCATGCCGGAAACCCTGGTCCCATTCTCGGCACGATATGCAACAGACATGGTGGCTCATATCTGTAATCTGAGTTTTGAGAGGTGGCATATGAAAAATTATATGCCTAGCTTTGGAAAGAATGATTTCAGATGAAGTGGGATTGGAGCCAACTCCTAAAATTGTATTTTATTATTGTCTGTGGTAGAGTTCAAATCTTTGGAGATTAAAAAAAATGTATTTATCTATTACTTGTTGTTGAGACATAGTCTCATGTAGTCCAGGCTGACCTTGAAAACATTAAGTAGCAGAGGGTGGGTGACCTTGAGAATTTCTGAAGCACAGAGATATGACTGAAATAGTGCTTTGGACACATTTGCCTACTATTTAATAAATGTGGGGCTGGACACAGAAAAGAATGGAAAAACCGAGGCTACTTGGCCTATTTATTACAATAGATTCTCAAAATCAAACAAACAACACAAGCCAGGGCAACAGCAATCCAGAGCAATGGCAAACCAGGGCAATGGTGGGGATGTCTGGGAAGGAATGAACATTTTCTTCTGTAGGCTTCAGTTAGGGAGACAGTGGTTCTGATAATTACAAATCAGGTACAAAAAGCTGCAAGAAAAAGATCAAAACTGTCAGGAGCAAAAGCACCTTACTGTAGGCAGATTTTTCTTTGGGTCACCAGCTCACACACAAAAGCTGATATGGAGACTTATTATCAATTAGGAGAGCTCAGCCTTATCTTAGGCTTGTTTCTAGCTAACTCATAACTTAAATTAATCCATATTTTTAAATCTATGTTCTTTTATGTGGCTCGGTTACCTTTACTGCATCCTCTCCAAGTGCCCTCTGTCCCCAGAAGTCCCACCTAACCTCTTCCTTCCTAGCTATTGGCCATGTAGCTCTTTATTAAACCAATCGCAGTGACACATCTTCACACAGTGTAAAGGACTCTTCCACAACACCGCACTCAACAGCTTACATATGGTGGGAGCAGAGTTCTTCCAAGAACAGTTATCTGTGGAAGATGTAACCATGGTGGTGCTGCATAGACCCACTATTATCCTTACAATCTCCGACTCTGGAAAAGTTAGAGAATATACAGGAAGCAGCTCAGGGCACAATTCACCAACAAGAAATGTCTGAAAAGGAAGAATGGCAAGCCCACTGAGCAGCGACACTGTAGGGCACAGCCCGCCTTACCTGTTTAATAACCCACTGAGCAGCGACACTGTAGGGCACAGCCCACCTTACCTGTTTAATAACCCACTGAGCAGCGACACTGTAGGGCACCTTGCCTTAACTGTTAATAACAGAGACGACGCTACAAAAGTATGTAATCAAATTGGACATTCAAAACATCTGGTGAGCATTAGCAAAACCTGGAAACTTTCACACTGCTTTGTTTTAAACACAAAACTTTAAACCAAATTTTATGGAATTCTGAAAAAAAGTTTTTGAAGTTATAAGTTCTTGTCCACCATTTCTGTTGCTATGGCTGTAGGACTTGAGATGCAATGTAGCATTCAGGGACATGGGTCTTCTCTGAGTTTATTAGAAACCTGTCTGAAAAGAGACTCCAATCATGAATAAAGTATGTTCAGCTTGCACATTACCCCAAAACAAACCTAAAAGAAAATAGGCTATGCTTGTAGTAGACATTAGTAAAGTTCATCCAATCATTATTCAGTACATTACATTGCTAACGGACTGTTTTAGGTAAAATGATAGATTCTGGAATAACATATCTGTAACCTGTATCTCTTGATTTCCATTTTGAACTCTTGGATCCTTCCATTGAAAAGTGACTTTCCCAGTAAACTGTTTTTTTTTCTGGAGGTTGAATTTCAAGGTGTAGCCTAGGCAGACCTTGAGCTTCACACCACAGTGTCTAGTTTGTGGGGATGGGAGGTGTGTGCTGCTGTATGTAGGGTTGGGAGACTAGAACACGTTTTCACAGCAGCTCAATGTGAACTGGGGTGTTATCTGACAGTCATTTCTTGGTTCACAGGTCCTGTCGTTGTTGACCCCACTCTGAGGTAAGACGGGCATAGTGTCTCCCCACTCAACCACACAGAAGTGGACATTTCGGAATTACAGGAGTGCAGCTTATTGTTTTAGAGTGCAAATTTGTTTGTCCTTATTAAATAGCAAAAAAAAAAGGACCTCAGCCACCTGTGAAGGGGACAGACAATACTTATATTTACTGTAAAATGAAAACTACAGGGTTTTTTAAAAAGATACATATGCGTTTATTTGCTTATTTTATTTTTACATACTTTAAAATTAATTAATTCACTTATTTGGTTTCACTATGCAGCCCTGGCTGTCCTGGAACTCACTCTGTAGAAAAGGTTGGCTTCAAACTCACAGAGATCTGTCTGCCCCTGACTCCTAAGAACTGGAATTAAAGAAGGCATGCACCACCACTGCCTGGCTCATTCTTTTTTTTTTTTTTTTTTTTTTTGAGATAGGGTTTTTCTGTATTGTTTTGGAGGCCGTCCTGGAACTTGCTCTGTAGACCAGGCTGGCCTTGAACTCACAGAGATCCACCTGCCTGTGCCTCCCGAGTGCTGGGATTAAAGGTGTGCGCCACCACCGCCTGGCCTAAAATAATGTTTTCTTTTTTGGTTTTTTGAGACAGGGTTTCTCTGTGGCTTTGGAGGCTGTCCTGGAACTAGCTCTTGTAGACCAGGCTGGCCTTGAACTCACAGAGATCCATCTGCCTCTGCCTCCCAAGTGCTGGGATTAAAGGCATGCACCACCAACGCCTGGCCTAAAATAATGTTTTCTATATTAACGCTATTCTGTATATCTGCTTTTACAGGCCATGCTCAGGTATACTGAGCAGGAATTCCCATGCTCTAACCAGAGGGGTTTTTAGTGGTGCCTCTGAACAGGCACTGAGGAACCAGCTCCCTCCCATCCCCCCTCACTCCCCCATCAGTGTCTTTAAGGAATGAGACATGTCATTGTGCCTCTGTCATGCAGAAAAATCATGTTTCCTGGTGACACACAGAAGTAAACACTAACACTATTTAACATTGTCTTCCTTGTTTATTTAATCTGCCACTGTGTGTTTAAGAATCTGTTTTGCTTCTTTAAGAAAAAAGCTTGCAACCGTCTAAACAAGCCACATCACTACCTTTAAATTTATTTTGTTTTGCAACTTGGAAACCACCTACATTATGGCCCACTTAATAAAACAAGCAAATAGGAAATTCCTTGTGTTAAAGGGGTTGTGGGTGATAAAAATTTAAAAAGCTGGGCTAGGAGCATCTTCCTTACCTGAGGTTTTCTCTTGTCCCCTCCACGTAAGACCCTCACTCTAGTGTGAACGAATGCCCAAATGCTGATGTTTTACCAACCTCTCTGTGCCTGGTCCCTAGAATCTGTCCATACCCTGCTCTATCCATCCATCCATCCATCCATCCATCCATCCATCCATCCATCCATCCATCTATCTATCCATTCATCCATCCCTCCATCCCTCCATCCATCCATCCCTCCATCCATCCATCCCTCCATCCATCCATCCCTCCATCCATCCCTCCATCCCTCCATCCCTCCATCCATCCATCCATCCATCCATCCATCCATCCATCCATCCATCTATCTTCTTTAAGCTGCCCTAGAAGCCAGAGTTAAATCCAAATGCTTATGGCCATGGTGAAGCACTACTTCCTCAGAATAGTTTTCAAGAAGCCTGCTATCTACCACATGGGGATGCTTTTACCTTTTCCTGGTCCCCACAGGCCCCAGGGGACTGTCAAGCTGAACTGTCCTTTTTTTTTTTTTTTTTTTTGGATGTGCTGTTCTCAAGGGAACTTGAGTCTCTGTGCCAAGTCTGTTATGGCCTGTGTTAGCGCTGAGAGGTCAGGGCTAGCTAAGGGTTATGTCCTGATAATTTTGTGTTTTCCCAACTGTGGTTTTGAGCAAGTGTCTGTTGTTTCATGTTGAGGATTCTTTCTGAAATCGACCGATCAGTTTGTTGGTCTCTGAAAACTGGATTTTTATAGATCACTTAGAAATGATTCAGCAGACTTTATTTATTTATTTAGTTTTATTTATTCTATGTGTATGAATGTTCTACTCACGGTTAGGTCTGTGTATGCACCATATGAACACCAGGTGCTGGATGAGGCCAGAAGAGGGTGTCTTAACCCCAGGGATCTGGAGTTACAAGTGGTTGTGAGCCTCCATTTGGGAACCAAACCCAGGTCCTTTGAAAGAGGGGCCAGTGCTTTTAACCACTGAGCTCCCAGACGTCTGTTGCTGTGGTTAAGTGACTTATTTTAGATCTGTTGACTTATTTTAGATCTGTTGACACATCCTTAGGGATCTGAACTTCCATTCTCCCTCCGAGTCCTGACTCCGTCTGGTCTAGATTGCAGTGGAGGGGGGGAGGGAAACCACAGTTTTTGTTTTGTTTTGCATTCTCGCTCTGTTAGCATTCTTCATCTTCAACTTAATCTCTAGGATTACCTTGATTGTGTATAGCTCCCAATTCTGTTTAAATTACTGTTACTGTAACAGGTTCCCAGACCTTAGCACGACTGATGCCATGATGGAAATAACAATTCAAGCTTTGGAACCCAGCATGTAGACAGCACCACCTGCCAAAAAGGGAACCAAAACCTAATCCATCGAAGCCCATGGCTCTGGGAAAGTCTCTGATACACTAACTTGGCTTTTTGGCTTCTGTAGTTCAACTTGTGGCTAA